AACAAATAGCCAGAATACCCCTGAGCGTCACTCACCGTTGTCCAGTAGCGCCTACTATTGCAAGGAACACACTCTCCTGGATTAAAGTCCCTCAAACGGATCACGATACGATACAATAAATATAAAAATCGGTAGAAAACGATAGTACGTCTATCCCTAAGTTTGGCCACGCCGTGAGTGACGCTACAAATTTCCAAAATCGGGAACCTTAGTCCCTCAAACGGATCACGATACGATACAATAAATACAAAAATCGGTAGAAAACGATAGCACGTCTATCCCTACTAAGTTTGGCCACGCCGTGAGTGAGGCTACAAATTTCCAAAATCGGGAACCTTCTTGAGAGCACGCTGTAATACCACCCCCTGGTCCAATCAGGTTCGCTGTTACATCGGCTCCGCTAGCCGCCTCGCGATCTTCAATTGTTTAAACGATCCCGGTAAAATAGATCCTGGCATCTTACTACGATAGGATGGCTGCAGTGCCGTTTCCGGAAGGCGGGAATCACGTCCACCTCTACTCCCTCGATATTCAGCGTCACGCCGCTTCTGCAACTCCTGTATGCCCTCTGCTTCTGAAGACGCTCGCCGCTTGCTTCGCGTAGTTGAGCCACCAGGTTGTGTGCTCCGGTCTTGACGTTACCTCTCCTCGACAGCGCTACACCAGGCCCGTAGTTAGCTCTCTCTCGGGCCCCGTCTCAATACAAATTGTGTAGAATCTTCTCGGAACCGCTTAATAAACTCAAAAACAAACGAAACGTTCCCCACAGGGAAATAAATACAAATTGTTAAAATAAAATCAGTCCAACGCCACGGGAAACGCTCCGCAACTCATCCGGCCCCACGACGTAGCCGAATTCGCCTAATTTTGTGACGTGCATCAAAATGCCACGTCACAGTGTGTGTGTGTGTGTGCAGGGCTTCGAAAATTCAATTGCCTCTTACTCAGTAACCGTTAGAACGATCGGACTGAAATTTGACACGCAAGTAAAGTAGATATCCCTCTTTAAATGTTGCGATTTTTAATGAAATATATGCAGCCATTCAGATTTTATGTCATTTAAAATTTTTTGAAAAAAGGACGTGGTCGCTCTAACTTGCGTAAAGGTTCGACGATTTACCTAAATAGTTCTTCATAACTGAAGATACGTTTAATGTTGTTTGGTATTGAATTTCAACAAAATCGCTAAAGCGGTTCAGATTTTACGTGGTTTTGAAATTTTCAAAAAATTATCGTTGTTTTGTTTTTTTTACCTCATTTTTAATTGTTCATTCCTGTAAGTACCAAAGTTCAATTGTACATACATAACTCGCGAAAATAAATCAAAGAACTTCCTCATAGTGGAGGCTTTGTGAACGAAGAAAAAGAATCAAGAAGCAAAGTGTAAGATTCTACTTTGCATCATTGTGATAAAAAAAACCAAGTAAAATAATGAGGAAGCAATTTGCAAGGTTCTACTTTTCACCCTTGTTCTTATTTCTTTTTTCTCTTTTCTTATCTCTTATTTGCAACTATGCAAAAAATTATGCTCATGGTGTGGAAAGTGACGGTACCCCATGAACCATCCTCGCTGCATTTTGTCAGCTCCTTGGTGACAAGCGATTGAAGCGGCGATTAAAAAAAAAAGTAATAGTCAGAGTGTAGTGGAAAAAGTTGAGAGGTCAGAGCATGTTTTTAAAGAAATGGTATGTATAACAGTGTTAAGTTCATACCCATTTTTATTTGATTTAAAAAAAAATGTGTTGTCTATTTGTCATCTTTTTACCCTTTTTCTAGACGATCCGCCAGGCTGTCTAGCATCACAACACTTTGCAGGGTATACAAAAAAGTGGCACGTATAAGATTACAAAAATAAACTTAACTCTAAATGAATATTAATAAGAGTGATGCTGCTCGATTCAGCTGTCAATTGTCACTGGCTTCCTCTCGATCATTCTGTATAAAAACACCTCGGTTTCCGGTGTCCGGTGTCTCTATATCTTATCGGTAAGCTCCTGTAGTTATCATAACTAGCGTTAAGTTAGTAAACTTTTTTTTTTATTTTAAACATTGTATTGTATATCTCTCACCTTTTACCCTTATTTCACCACCACCACCACTACCAGACATAACTAGCCGAATATTACTGGACCGCTAAGTGTAATAACTTTTAGGCCCACACGGGTTTTTATTTGCTTTAAACAGATTTATTAAGAAACTGAAATTTTACAGATTATGGCACCGAGGAGATCCAACACACCACCCGAGAGGGTCGAGGGCGTTCGCCCACCGTTGAATGAGTTTTTCGCCCCCCTCCACGGTGGGCAATGTTTCTACGGGTGCATGTATATCCGCAGCCCGGTGGAATTATGTTACGGGTGCATGCGCGTCCAGGCACCCGAAATCCAGGCGCAGCACCCCCCCCCCCCCCC